CAATACACTCATACACATAAAATAAAAATAATAAAATATTTTTAAAAAATAAAATAAAATAAATTATGAAACAAGAACAATGAGAGAGAAAGTTTCTGAAGCCAGACTTCCAGAGCCCTTTTCCTTCCACGGTCTACACTAAGGTTGGTATGATGAGGAAGTTGAATGTGGTCCAGAGAAAAAGATGGGAGTATGTACCTTCAAGGACTTCAAGATCCCCGTCTCAGCAACTGATCACAACAACATGACAGGACAGACGTCCTCGGGAAATAGGAAGTCTGGGCTACACAATCATCCAACCCTATCTAACTGGTGGGCAACAGCTGAATACAGTTCACCAAAATAGACCCTATGGATACCAGGCCATAAAACCCACACCAACCAGACCAAAGCAGTTGACATAACACAGGCCACAATGGAATCACATCAGAAATTGGTATTAAATAGCAGGAAAGTCTCCAAACATGGAAATTCAACAATATATTCCTGAACAATCCATGAATTTAAAAAAAAAAAGTGTCAAAAGAAACAGAAAAATACATAGAACAAAAGAAACTGGAAATACAGCATTTTAAAACTTTCAGGGCTCAGCTGAATCAGGCACGAGCAGTGTTACAGAATTAATTTACATTAGAAACGTGCCTGTAAGGTGCATGCCTCCCTCAAGGTCCAGAGAAAGAAGAGTCAGGGAATTTCCAAGAAAAGAGAAGAAAATGATATGGACAAAATCAGAAATCAGTGAAGCAGAAAATAGGAAAACAATAGAAAAATCAACGAGACAAAAAGCTGATTTGTTGAAAAAAAAAAAAATCAACACTCTGACCCAGTTGTGGTGGCGCACATCTTTAATCCCAGCACTCAGGAGGCAGAGGAGGGCGGATCTCTGTGAGATCAAGACCTGAACCTGGGTCCTCTGCAAGAGCAGCCAGTGCTCTTAACCTCTGAGCCACCTCTCCAGCCCTGGCTGTTTAATATCTTTGGACTATGTACAGTTGATTTGTTGTAACTGAAACTTTGGGAAGAGGGAAGGGACTTAAGACTTGCAAGAAGATTTGGGGGAGGGGATGCAGCCTTGGGGGGCGCACAGGAGGGAAGTTAAAGAGGCCACCCCCAAGGAGCAGTCAAGCTATCCCAGCAGGAGCGCTGTGTGAACTAAATAGACAACTATGAAATGTGCAGGGATCAGGCCAGGCACGCAGTCCACAACGATTAATTGGTGCTGTGTGTATTACCCAAAACTATTGGCAAGACAACAAAACATTTCTTAAAAAACTCAATAGTAATAAATAATAATAAATAAACAAATAATAATAAAACTTGGAGACGACTGAAGCCACAGCAGACCAGAAATGTATTTCCTCCAACCTCACAATCTCAAAGAGACGATTGTATAGGAAAACTCCCTATTTCACACCTCGCATGTATAATACAAAATCTAGCTGTATTTTCCAAGAGAGTTTGACAAAACCCCCTAAAGTTAAAATACCCTCAACATTATTCTATCATAGTAGCTGCCCTTATCTAAGCTTTCTCTTCCCAATGTTTCAGCTGCAACAAATCAACTGTGCAAAGTCCAAAGATATGAAACGGCCGGGGCTGGGTAGATGGCTCCGCAGTTAAAAGCACTGGCTGCTCTTGCAGAAGACCGAGGTTCAGTTCCAGTTCCAGGGGATCCGGCACCCTCTTCTGGCCTCTGCAGGTATTGCATGCATGGGTCCACTTACATGTACACAGGTAAAACATACACATAAAATAAGTTTTAAAAACTTTAAGATTCCAGAAATAAACTATTCGTAAGTTTCCAGTTGTACACAGTTTTGAATGGTGTGAAGAAACCTCTTGTCCTATTCCACCCCAAGGACATGAGTCATGTCTTTGTCGATGTATCTGCACTTTACACACGACCCACCCAGTAGTTACTTAGTAATCATCTCATTTATCAGATGGAGTCGCAGTATAGCAGTGCTTGTGTTCCATCGCCCTTACTTTACTTCATAACGGTTACAGATAACATAAAAGTTATTACAGCTCAGTGGAAAGGAGCTGAGACGAATTCCCTTCAGAGGAGGATTGCTAGCAGAGTTATGGCATCATACCACGGACAGTGGAGTATGTCCTGGAGGAACAAAGAGCCTTCACTTTCAGAGTACGAAAGGAGTTTCTGGCTTAGAGGTCACACTGAATGACCTAGCCTAGTGTTGGGAGTCAGGCAAGACGTCTAGATAGAGGACAAAGCTATAATTCCAGGTTGCCTTGGGTCTGAGCAGCAAGGGTCTCGGATTGCCTCAGGCTTCAAGGAAGAGGGGAAGGATTGCAAGGTGTTACCTGTCAGCTCTCTGTCTGAGGGGGGAGAGGCTGCCGAGGGTCCTGGCCTGATTTCTCCAAGGTTGTAACATCTTCTCTCTCTTGCTCTCTCTCTAAAAATTTATTTTATGCTGGGTATGGTGGCGCATGCCTTTAATCCCAGTACTGGGGAGGCAGAGGCAGATGGATCTCTGAGTTCAAGGCCAGCCTGGTCTACATAGTGAGTTCCAGGACAGCTGGGGCTACAGGGAGACTCTGTCTCAAAAAGACCAAAAAAAA